ACTCAATCTACACATGTTCGCTCTTTTTCTTCAAATCGCTTAGAAACACGCTATTTAACATCATTAAAGTCCTGGTTAAGATCAGGAAAAAGGTTTAGGGCTGGAATGTCTATTACCACGGGAGCGTCATTGCACTGGATTTCAGCCATAACCCGCCGCGTACCATAGGAACGCCGAAGGTCTCCTTTTGCGTTCCTCAGGAACGCCGTGGGAAGTGACAAAACGTCGGCATGTTACGCCTCGGGAGTGAGAACGGGTTGTAATAAAAACTGAGAGAGACCGACAGTGATCACTGACTGTTCAGATTCAATAGAACAACATACAAAGCATTAAAACATGTTATAAACACAACAACGTTAATAAACAGAGCAGTTTGGACCCAGAAGCAGAATTCATTAAAATGTCCAACATTACAGCAGAAATAAACATGTTCACAGTTGTGCACAAACTTGTCACCTGGTCATATTTCATAACTGGTAAAAGTTACTGTTGTAAAGGAGTGTATTTCACCCCAAACCACCATCCTTTTCAAACTCTACCCCACTAGACTTTGGTGCCTTAAAAGAACCAGCGGGTGGACGATTGCCATCACCCCTCCAACCTTCTCGCAGTGATTAAGAGTCATTGGGGTCTGATTCACTTTCTGAGCCAGCTTTAAATGATCACTAAAACAAATAACTGCTGTTTTAAACTTGGGGTTTAAAAAAACAGAAAAAGTTTGTTTTTATGGTTCACAGTGGATGGTGTTAACCATATTTCACATGTTTTCCATACTGGTGTGTTTTTAGGAACATTCTACCAATAAATTCAGCAAAAGTTTTTCAATGGTCGCTGAAATTACAATTGATTCAAATGTGCCCAAAGCTGTTTTTGTTTATGTTTATCATGTAGCTCTGTTGTTTTCAAATGCAAAGTTTTACTTTAAAATCTCATTTTTCTACCACATCTATAAAAACGTGTCTGATAACACCGTCTGCCTACATGTAAGTCCAACTAACATGAAATTGTTTTCATATTATTTGGAAAAACATTTTCTTAACCCATGGTTTAAACGATCAGATATGTTTACATGTGAAAGC